AGCCTAGTGAGGCATGGAAATAAATTATATTTGCCTGTTACAGCTTTCAGCAGTTTCTGTTACGGCTGATATTTAGTGCTATAGGCTAACTTTGTTTTATATGCTGAAAGTCCTCATACTTACTGCAGAACTGCTGTACACGGATTTATAATACTATAGCTAATGGATAGTGCTCTAAGGTCCTGACCCAAAGCCTACCGAAGGTATTGGAAAGACTCTTATTGAGGGGAAACTTCAGCAAGTACAATTCTCTTTGGTAAGAAAATTAATATGAGATACACCCTTTGTGGTTTTGCCTCAAACCTTTCATAAGGCTGAAAAAGGACTGTTTTTTTACCGGGTCAGAAAACTAACCAAGGCCTGGCGTGATAGAGCTGGCCTGAAAAAGAAGATACTAAAAACAACCTTTTCTGAGATGGGGGTATGGGGACCTAGCTGTTTGTTTAAACAATGCTATTTAAACTGCAGGGCATGCTGGGTCATTGGTAGTGCAACTGCTTTTTAAGTGGACTAAGGCTGTATGGGTTTCTTCTTCTTCCCTTCTCTCTTGCCTAGCCTGGTCTCCATAATCCTATTTCAGCCACATATTAACTGACGTGAAGCCATCCTCTCACTCCTCTGTTCTGCTCTACTTACTTTATAGGGAATACAAAAATCTGCAACAGCTCAAGGCCACAGTAAACAGATATCAACATTTCTGGCAAGGTAGTCTGGAATTAACTTTGGCAGATATTTTAGGCATCTTGGTTTCCACCAATGTCACATTTTGCTCTGTGGGGTTGGAAGGCAAGGAAAGGGAGGAGGCTCTTTGATTGTAAAAGTGCTCTCCTGTGATGAAAATATAGTCATGGTTCCAAATGAAAATTTGCAGTAACACGCAACAATAAGCCCAGCAATCTTTTCTTGCAGAACTTTTGACAGGTTTGAGGGAAGTGAAGAGGCACTTCACACTTTCCGTTTTCAGCAGCCTTTATCTCTGCATTTTCAGATCGTTTAATAGGACGTAGCAGATGAAAGAGAAATTCAGTTTGTTCACTGAGAGATACAAGAACCAATAGAGATTTTACACTGCCACTTCCAGTCCAGAGATTGTATAGGGAGAAAGTTCATTTCAAACCTATGAAGATAACAGTCTCTATCAATGAGATATCTACAAAGTAAATAACTTTTTCAGTGTTTCTTCCACTTGAGTTGCTACTGACCACCTGACTTGTGTATGTAGACAGAGAGAGAGAATCAGAGCTTTAAGGAATCCACTTCAGTGCATAGTCCCAGGGGAAAATGCCCTTTCAGCACTGAGCTGCTCCTTTTATTTTGCAATGATTTATTTACAGCATCATGAGAAAGGAGATAGCAAAGATGGGTCAAGTTCAGGTGTATCCTGTGATTTTGTAGTTTATTGGTGAGCTAACTATCTTGTATAAGCAGCTATCAGGAAAATATTTCATTTTCATGCAACGACTAGGCTATCTGACATTTTTGTTCTTAAAAATGAAAGTTTTCAATTTTAATTTTGCCAAAAAAATATGCTAATCTCAGCACAGATAAAAGCAAATTGCTTCATTAATGTCCGTAGCATTACAAGTACTTTTCAGGATTTTAAAGGTTTTTAATCATTAAAATTTTGTAAGCTAAAAGATCGTTTTGTCTTTAGACACTTGAATTTATGTTCAATTCCAAGAGAATTAGTGGCAACCCTCTTTCCTGATACTTTCAAAACTAGAGAGGACAAAGGAAATGTACTGGTGGGAATAATCCTGCCAGGACACCAAACCACCTGCAGTCCCTTGCTTCAACCCACTGAAATTCGGAGTTGCTTTTTAACCACAAGGATTTATGGGGTTGTGTCACTGCACAAAATCTGATTCTGTGATAGCTGAATATACTGGTGTTGGTGAAAGCTTTTTTGAGGAATTCTGTTACAAACCCCTAGGTCTAGGTGATAACTCAGCCAAAAATAGTCTTAAAATGAGTTTAAAAATGGCATACAAGGGCTCACACCAGGAGAACAGCATTGTGAACATATAGACAATCATTTTGCAAGGTTGTCCATTGGCAGCTCTTCTAGATGTTTGCTTTTCGCCAGCAAAATAAAAAATCATCTTTTCGGAATCACACTCACTGGACATTTATTACTTCCATTCTTAGCAGCGGTTGATTTCTTTTTGTATTTTTAAGCATGGCTGTAAGACAAACAGTTAAAAATTGGCCGCTCTGTATACATAAGTACAATGAGGAGTCAGCTCCATTTCTCAGCTTCCACAGATTCCAGGAGCATTTGCTTAATGCATTTGTGTTGGCCCATCTCTGTTTAAGAGCACATCTACAGTACTGCGATCCTAATGGGTGAACCTTACCATAAGTGTTTCCTTCACTTGCAGTGTTAGCATTGGACATGCCTTGCTTACGTCCATTTTAGGTGTTCATAATCCATCACTTAAGGAGACCCTTTTTTACTATTTCTCAGATTCAGTTCCTTCAAAGCTAAGGCAGAAATTATGTCCATAATATGATTTTAAAAGTCACTTAGTTGCACGGCATGTGGATTTCCCCCTCCCCTCTTTAATTGTAACCAGGGTTCTAATTGGAACATTTTGTGAGAGAACCATTTTCTGTGAGTCTGACTTTTGTAAGGAAAGGAAAGGAGTAAGAAATGGGATTGCTGTTATTTTAATGAATGGTATTCAGTTCTATTATTTCTGAAATGGTAAATTTTTCTTTTCCATTCAGTGGGTTAGGGAGTTTTCACTGAAAATAAATAGGATCTTAATGGACATTGTAAAAGTGGTTATGGACAGTAATGGCTATTAGAGGGCTTGCAGTTTTCCAGCAAGTTGCATGTAATTTGATCATAAAAATCAAATTTCCTTTGTTAAAAAGGCAATGAAAACATATTGGAATGTTTAATGTTAAAAATGATGCTGCCATTGGAGTTGTGTAACTTGTAATATTTAATAATACATCAGGATTTAGTCATGTATTTCATTAAATGTTTCACATGCACAAGGAATATATTTGGAAAACATATGAAAATTATGTCTTAAAGTAATATGATTGACACTACCACAGCACTGAATATTTACTAAACATATTCAGGGTCAACTTGATAAGCGTTTTCTCCAAATATTTTGCCACGATAGTTATACAAAAAAAAAAAAAAAAAAACAACTTATTGGTGCAAAATGAACTAATAATAATGATAAACCTATATAAACATTCATTATATATTCTTCCTTATTTTTATTGATTAACTCAATATAGAGGCAACATCATAGCAGCACTGTATGTTAGTTTGTCAGCAGTGTCATTAAGCCCTCATAGGAAGGGATGGAACTCTCAGATGGCTTTAATTAAAGAAAAATCAAAATACTTACAACTGCTTATAGAAGTGTAGTGGAAAAGTCACAAGGAGTAGGTGATGGCTTCTGTCCATAAATATATACATATATATAAAATGTATCGAATAGCATTAAAAACAAACACAGAAGGGAATAATCCATTGCTATATCAGAACTTACATTATCAAAAATTAAACTTTGTATGAAAATACAGTAGAACCTCTGAGTTAAGAACACCTTGGGAATGGAGGTTGTTCGTAACTCTGAAATATTTGTAATTCTGAACAAAATGTTATAGCTGTTTTCAAAAGTTTACAACTGAAAAATGCTGCTTTCCCTTTATTTTTTAATAGTGTACGTTTAACATAGTACAGTACTCTATTTGCTTTTTTTTTTTCTTTTTCTTTTTTTTGGGGTCTCTGCCTGAATGTGTGCTTCTGGTTTCAAATGAGGTGTGTGTGGTTGACTGGCCAGTTCATACCTCTGGTGTTCATAACTCTGAGGTTCTGTTGTACAGAGATCTCAGTCCTGCATGAGGATCTGCTAGGGTGAATCCCTGCACCTGTACAAAGTCCCATTGACTTCAGGAGACTAGCAGATCCTCATGCAGGATCTCAACCTTAAGCTGTGCTGATGTTTCAGCTTCGTTGGCCTTCACAGGCACGGAAGAGAGAATGATTCTAAGGAAGGGAGGATGTGGAAAAGAGGAAATAACTGTGGCTTAGAGAAGGAGAAAGGGGTGAAGAGAAAAGAGAGGAAGAGACTTACAGGAGAGAGAGCGAGAGAGAGAGAGAGGTACTGGGTAAGAAGAGAGCGAGAAAGACACTGGAGAGAAGATAAATCAACAGACAATTAAGAGGTTTGAGGAGAAGAATATGGGGGAGAGAGAAGGAAAGCGACTGAAAAAGAAGGAGGGAAAGAACACTGGGACAGAGAAGGGGGGGAGAGAAAGAGAAGAAATACTAACTGACAAGCTGCTCTGTCATCTGACTGACAGCCACAAAGAAATCACATGTTGATCTCATGTAACAATAATAATTATATAATAATACCTAGCTCTCATGTAGCATGTTTCAGAGTGCTTTACAGGGAAGGTCAGCATCATTATTCCTGTTTTACAGGTGGGGAAAGTGAGGCACAGAGACTTGTGTGAGATCAATGGCAGAGCCAGGGATAGAACCCAGGTCTTCTGAGTCCCAGTTCAGTTCTCTTTCTGCTAGGCCCCACTGCCTCACATTCAGCCCACTATTGCATTGGCATGTGGTAATATTGCATTTTGGTGCAGTGTTCTCACCCAGTGATACAATATTATCGTGTTATGAGTTCATTCCCTATTTTTTCTAACACTCCCATGCTGTTGTAAAATGGCTCTCTTCTGGGATAACGATCTGGTAGTCCAGCAGAATGAATGGAATAGCAGTCAAACACAAGTACCCTGCAGGAATCACATGAAAGGAGCTACATGTAGCTTGAGCACCAGAGTTTTCTAAACTCTCCCCCTTTTATGTTACTCAAAGTATCTCTACTACCTGGCATTGTACTCTGCTTCATTATTCGCCATTCACTAGAACACTGCTATAATATTGGAAACCTTTCCATTTACAGTAAATTCTCCGTTTCTAGTACACATCCTACATACTGGTATCTTTTCTATTTGTTTAGGCCAGATGATACGTACTCGGTCCATAATTATGCAGGCACAAGGAGAAGGAAGGCTGTGCCCTACACAGCTCACCCAGTACAGAAACTGTCCTGTAAAGCCATGCTACACTTGGATTCTCGGGGCGTGGTCACCATGCAAAGTAGAGGTATGTCTTGTTGTTATGCTTATGAGGCGCTTCTCAGGTGATGCTCGTAGAAACTCATTTCATCAATGACAAATGGCACAATTAGGTGACACAATTAATTTAAACAGCTTTTCAGAGATCTAAGTATTTTTGCTGCCATTAAGACCATGCTAACATCCACTTTAAAACAAAGTGAGTTCATCATCAGTAGAACTATTGTGATTTATTCAGCCATTAGAGTCATAGATTCCAAGGATTGAAGGGACCATTGTGATCATCTAGTCTGACCTGCTGTATAACACAGGCCATAGAACTTCCCCAAAATAACTCCTTTGAATATATATTTTAGATAAACATCCAAACTTGTTTTTAAAATTGCCAGTGATGGAGAATCCATCACGCTCCTTGGTAAACTGTTCCAATGGCTAATTACCCTCAATGTTACTGACTTGCACCTTATTTCCAGTCTGAATGTATCTCGCTTCATCTTCCAGCCATTGGAGCACGTCATATCTTTCTCTGCTAGATTGAAGAGCCCATTCTCAAATATGTGTTCCCCATGTAGGAACTTACAGTCTGTACTGAAGTCACACCTTTAGAAACTAACTGTAACAGTGCAAGTCGTAGTAGTGTACACATATATCAGTAGTGATGTGAGTTCCACCAACTCTTCCTGGAGTGCAGCTCTAGCAAACCATTATTTCATTACTTACAGCAATGCTAGCAAGAAAATGTAGGTAGCAGATTTTGGAAGTAGTAATAACAATGACCCTGAGAATAACTGATGTCCCTAGACATCTGTAATGTCTTAAACACTTCAATTTAAAGTTATTCTGTGGCATGTTGATTACTATATTCTTCTTAGTGGAGTTATCAAAATGGCCTGCAAATGTAAGAGACTCTTAAATTGCATAGCACACATACCCCTCTTGCTTTGGGAATCTGCATTTTCTCACTATCTTCATGTTGCTTTGTGCTTGCATTGATTTATCTTACACTTCCCCCCCTCTCCTTAGTAATTGATGTGAATTAATTTGTAATTAAATTGATGTGATTTTTCTACACTGAAGTTACTCCTACAGGGTGAAATTTGCTTCACCTCCATTAACCCGTACTAACTGTCCTCTATGAGGAAGAAGTATGGGTGAAATGCCGAGAGGAAACCCACTCCCTTCGCCCAGGGCAAATGACCTCAGTGCAGATCTCACCATGGCTGCTGTTCCACACTATGGGACAAAGAGAGTTGGGGCCATTAGATGTGTGTGTAAGTGCAGATCCCATGGCCTTTCTTCTGATCTACCTATCATGATGTAGCAGGCTTTGTGCCATCTTCTGCTCCCACATTTCTCCTGGAGAGGGCAGAGAGGATGCAGCAAGTGTGCCTGTGATGACTGCTGCAGCTGGTATAATCTAGAGCAGCCTTAGCCCATTGTAAATTGTAGCTGGAACCATTTTGACCCTTGGCCAGCCCACAATCAGGGAAGCAGCAAGATGACTTAAGGCCACCCCTTCCTCCTGCTGTTTTCAGTTCTGCTAAATACAAACCAGGTACAACTGAGAATGTGACCCATGCATGTAAATGTAATATTTATGTAGCCCTAACACCCTGGGATCTTATCTTAGTAAACAGGGTTAGTTCTGATGAGTACTAGATGGGAGGCCTTTAATTGTATGAACTAGTGCTGGTGATAAAGGAGTGGACACTTCTCTCTGAGTTACTGAATCAACACCCTGACATATTGCTAAGATTATTAAGTTGACGGCAGCTTTTGCAGAATAGAAGCATGTTAAATCTGGAGCCTGGCCAAATTTCAGCTAAAATAAAATAATTACATCCTGTCTACCCCAGATTTCACCCTGCACTTTCAGTAGGATACAGTATTCTTCTTTCCTTCCTAAACTATTGTGTTGTCTTTCTGTGCTCTATTAAATGGCTGTCAGAGGTGGCTGCACTTCAACGGGGGCGGGGAGAAGGAGGAGTGGTTCCTTTTCAATGTATTTTAGCAAAGCTCTTAAGGAGGAGGCATGTTATATAAATGTAAGGCGATTTACTTCCAATTGGGAATGAATCCTAAATTCACCTTCCAAAGTATCAAAAATCTTGTTTTTCACAGGTGTTCTGTTGAATTGACTTTGACTAAAATGACACCAGAAAAATCTGTTGTGAATAGCCTGATATGGTTAAATAAACAATAATCTTAATAATGAGTAGTCTACAATATTTTTTCTGTATTGTAGGATACCTGGAAAATATTTTGCAGTCTTAGAATAGTAACCGTTTTAATCCTAAATTAGTTGTTTGGTGTGAATGAGTAGAGCTGTTTGCATGCTTAGAAGTAGAACCTGGCCCACCAGATGCAGGGCCGGCTCCAGGGTTTTGGCCGCCCCAAGCAGCCAAAACCAAAAAAAAAAAAAAAACCGCGGCCGCAATCGCAATCTGCGGCGGCAATTTGGCGGGAGGTCCTTCACTCCGAGCCGGAGTGAGGGACCATCCGCCAAATTGCCGCCGAATACCTGGACCTGCCTCCCCTCTCCCAAGCGGCCGCCCCAAGCACCTGCTTGAGAAGCTGGTGCCTGGAGCTAGCCCTGACCAGATGCCCTGCATTGCAGATTTTCACATTATTTAATCCAGAGAGAGGTATTACTGTCAGTCCTTGTGTCCTAAAAAAGATATGCTGGAATGCACATCTGGTAGTGATAGTACCGGAATGTCCTTCCAACTCCCAAAGGCAGTGCAGTGTTTCAGTGCAAGTCAAGCCCTGACTACCACTGTCCATGAACCTGCATGCATCACGGGCCACTTCCAGTTGTGCAAGGAGCAAACCTGCAGCCTTCAAACAGATGGAAAACCTTTTAGAAGCAGTGAACGTTACCAGACCTAAAGCAATAAGGTACATAAATGGCAGAAAATTGAATCTGAATGTTTCCCTCTATGACAGCCTATCATAACCTGGATAAAAAACATCAACAATATGAAGTATTACTAATTTTTATTATTTGGCTACTAAAGGAACATGAGACATGTAGTTAAACATTAACAAAACATTTATTCAGGGCCTCAATATCATTTAAATTATATGCATTTAACGCCAAATTTCCAAAGGTATTTAGGCTCCTAAAGGTGCGGAGAGGCTCCCAATGGGATTTGCAAAAGTGCCTAAGTGCCTAACTTTCATTAATTGGGAGTTGGGTGCCTAGACACTTTTGAAAATCCCACTAAGCACCTATTTGCATCATTTGGTGCCTACTACCATCAAAAATTTGGCCCTCAAAGTCTAATCATGCAGCCCTGTCTCACAAAGGAGAATGCATACCCAAACAAGTGCTCACTGATGAGGGAAAGTGTTGCCCAATCGGGCCCTTAATTATCAACTCTCTTCCCTCAGGAGAGACAATATTTACCAAGCAGACCTTACTCTTGGGAGCTATGTATGTCCAATAACCTCCTCAGGGATCTTCCTCTGTTTATCACCTGTTATTCAATTTGGGCTGATTATTGATATCCGTACTCTAGCAAATTCCCACTGAACTCTACTGGATGGTTGGAACTTTAGGAATGGGTCCTACATAATTTTAGGAAGCAAATAGGGACCAGTATTTTTATCCTGCATTATTTATGCACCACATATAGTAAAAAAGCAGGCTTCCCCTGTCCTCTGTAAATGGCATCATGACTTTCCATTTTCAAAAAGTATGATGATCCCTGCCACGCAAGGACGTTGTTAGGTTTGGTTGTTTGTAAAGCCAGTCTTAAATAATAAGCAGAGGTCACCATTAAAGGGTAAACATTTACCACAGCATAATATCTGAGATACCCGTAGCTATTTCCTATTCCAAGTACAGGGATATCCAAAGATATCACTGATGTATCACAGTGTAGTAACTGCATTGACAAAAGGTTGACTTTATAGTGGACAGCACTGTATTAGAGGTAGGTATTATTGTCAGCTAGAATAAGTGTCTTTTCATATCATTTTAGTCCTCTACAATACCGATTTAGTCATTTCCTTGTGCTTTTCTTCTAAGTTTGAAATATATTGTAGTTTGATTAGACCCTGTCCGGAGAGAGTTCCTTCCACATCATATTCGGTCTCCACCAGTAATTTCTAAGAACTCCAACCCAGTTTGGCACCTGGATGAGCTATTCACGCACTATTAATCCAAGTCTGCAACAGAGGCTTCTGCAGTGAAATAGCAATTTAGAATAGTAAGTTACATACAGACTAGATTGAAACACAATGTTGAAAACTTAATGTCTAACTGCATACAGTAAATCTGCACTAATACTTCTCTTAGACACTTGATTACCAACTGCTTTAAATCCAACTAGTTATACCCTCACTTATATTTCACTAACTGTCAATGAGGGGGTGCAGAGAAAATGAGAAAGGTACTGCATGAATATGGGAAAGCCAGTCTTGAGATTCCTGCTACCAAGTCCAGTGCTGAATAAATATACTTGGTAGGTAGCCCTTTAGGTCTGTGAATGAGGTCCATTATTTTCAAAGGATCTACTGCCAGGTGATCCAGAGTAGCACTTCCCGGAGTAGCCCAATAAAAGCAGAGTTTTTACTTAAGGAGTTTTATAAAATGCTCATTTCCGTAAAGCTCAAGTTGCCCATATGTAATAAATATAACATCATTACATCTTTAAAGAGTGGACAACAAACCCCATCACCTACAACCGTCATATCTTCCCTCCTCCCTATAGCATCCTTCAAGGTGTGATTGTCATTTTGTTGACACCATTCTCTGCAGTCTCATTGAAGAGTTCAAGGATTTTATTGTTATAAAGACTGACCCTCTTTTAATCATTAGGATCAGAGTTGTGGTATAGTGTCAGGGGTATGGAAGCCTACATTCCTTCCACCCATTACGTATCCAGTCTGTGGAGAAACTGAGGATTTCAGTTTCCAGTGCTGATTGGGAAGGTCTGAATATCATGAAATTATTTTCTAAAGCTCTACGAATTTCACACTTACTGATTAACCAGATGATCAAAAGCCCGTTCCAGTCACTGTGCTCTGTGAATTTGAATTCCTCCTGCAGAGTCACTGGGGTATTGTACTCTTCTTTACTTCCTTGTCCAAACTGTTTAGAGAATTATGCAGCTATTTAACAGTTATGGCCAATTCTACCCTAGAGATGATTACCTTTCAGTGCTGGCTAAAGTAATTTCTGTATACGTCATGCTCGATCATGTCACTGAGGCCCAGTCCCCCATAAGGCAGTGTGGACCTGTACCTACCACCATCCCCATGCCCTGACCCTGAGAAGCTCCTGACAGTTTTCTTCCTTAGTTCTTCAACTCTACAGAAATCCTCCTGCATCCTCCTGGTGCACAGGGGAGGCAAGTGCACTGGTACGCCCCTTCTAGCATGCAGCACACCTCCTCTTATAGTCCTGCCAAGTCTGCTGATCAGTGCATGTGGGGAGGAACCTGGTACTTCCCGCCTGCCCAATCACAGCTGTTTCATAAAAGTGCAAGAAGGAGGTTTACCCTTACCCCAACATTGCACTCCTGCAGAGGAGGTGGACACAATCTAGTTACATAGGCCTGGATCCACAGAGGGTCTTAGGCATTGCAATGCTCAGCGTCACTTCACAGCGCCTGATTTCTTGGCACCTAGAAAATCACAGGAACAACACTGCAATCTGCAATACCTGTGTTAGGCACCTAGACAACCTATGCAATGAATCAGGAGAGAGAGTCACCTAAGAAATGTGAACCACAAAAGCCAGCACGCCAGGCACGATGCCATCTAAGCTAGCCAATGGGAGTTGTCGATGAGGGGGTGTGACCTAAACTGTGCCTTACTCTCAGAGAGAGGTGCCTAAGTCCAGGCTGCAAGAAGTCACCTACCTCTGCTAGAGATCCAGGAACAAGAATCCTTCTCCTGCATTCAGGCAGCAAAGCTCCCAAAGGCATTTCTTGTGAGAATGAGTTAGGTGCATGCCTTGCTCCACACAAAAGGACTGGAGGAGGAGGAGGTGGAGCTGGTGGTGGTGGGGGGCTTATAACTTTTAGCCAGACTATCCCATAGCCAGTGATTAGCACACTCACCTGGGACATGGGCGTCCCAGGTTCAACTCCCACCTCTGCCAGAGGTGGGTAAGGATTTTAACGGGTCTCTCCCACTTAGCAGAAGAGTGCTCTAACCACTGAGCTATGGGATAGTCTGATGTGGGCTCCCTCAATCTCTTATGTTGAAGTTCTTCCACTCTGGATAAACAGTGACTGGAGTTGGGGCACTGGACCCTGGGTTTTCCATCTCACAGGTGAGTGCCATAACCACCAGGCTACAGAATCGGTCTCACTCTCTCTCAGGTCCACTGACTGCTCCAGTATGGATAAATACTTATAGTGTGTGTGGGGGGGGGGGAGTGAAAGAGATATATGACTCTGAAGCCTGGTGGTTAAGGCACTCAGCTGGGAGGTGAGATACCTAGGGTCCAGTCCCCCAGCTCCCATCACTATGTCTTTATTCATCACTATGTCTTTATTCATCCACTGTGGAACAACTTCAACCCATAGCTCAGTGCTTAGAACACTCTTCTGGGAGGTGGGAGATGCCTGTTTAAATCCTTCCCCACCCTGTGCCTGAGAAAGGAATTGAAAATATCAAAATATCCCAAGTGAGCGCTCTTACCACTGGGCTGAAAGGCATAAGGTGGGCAATGGTACCACCACCACTCTCCAGGTTTGGAATGGGACCTGATCTGGGAGATGGTCTGGAGTGAGGCAGCAGTGTGCATGCCCAGAGGCAGAAACTTGAAAACTTGGGTGCTAAGTGAGTTTAGGCAACTATATGGTTTGGCAGAAGTTTTATGGATCACAGTGGAGCCTAAAACTGGGATTTATGTACCTAAACCCCAGATTTAGGTGCTTAAGTGTGGGTTCAGGCACCTAATACCTTTGTGGATTGAGACCAGAGTCTGTAAAGCACTTTTAAATCCTTCCAGGTGAAAGTTCTATATACATTCACTTATTATTATTAATTATTTGATTATTGTTTAAGTTAGCAACATGTGATTGTTATCTCTCAAAGGGGGGACAATGCGGTGAAGGATTCCAAATCCGTAACCTCACGTGTATGGTTCACGATGCCTCTATGTCTGTTCCATCCAAGCAAGTAGAAAATGCATTGTGTGGAGAGCTGCCATCAAAAGACAATGCACTACAATTACCATGTTCTGTGCCTTGCCCAGGTAAGTTCTTCTGAGATTGTGTGGTAAGCTCTCAGGGGCAGGGATCCCTCTCTAGTTTTAACAGTCACAACTAGTATCATAAATCAAAGCACTATTAATTATTTACATTGTGGTAACATCCTTCAGTCAGTCTCAGGGCCCCATTGTTCTAATACAAGTACAGAGGAAGATACAGCCCACAAAGAACTTCTAATGTAATCCTAGACAAGACACGGCAGACTTTCTGCCAAGCAATTGGAGGGCATGGGGGAGAGAAAATGAAGGTGACAGTAATAAGAATTTGTGATTCTACAGATTAGCTGTGTGTTCACCCTGCTGGTTTTAGATCTTTTGAAAGAGGTTTTCCGTTATTTTGCAGAGACAAAATATGATACAAAAATAACATAAGCAGCCATGCTAGCAGGTTATAATTGGCATTATTTCCAAAAGACTAGCTGTATGTTTAAACTATCCTTTGAGGCTGTCTCCTTCGGATAACAGTGTTTTATTCTTTTGACGTGTAGGTGATTGCCATTTGACAGGATGGTCAGAGTGGAGCTCATGTGAGCTAACGTGTATTGATGGCAGGAGCTTTGAGACCACTGGTCGCCAGTCTCGATCAAGAACATTTATCATTCAGTCTTTTGAAAACCGAGACAGCTGTCCTGAGCAAGTCTTGGAGACACGGCCTTGTTCAGGTATTGCAGCCCCTGCCCTTAGCTTTATTCCACTACAGGTTTACGTTTTTATAGATATAGGAAGATTAATTGCTTTGTCTTGTTTAAATTGTAGGAGGGAAATGTTATAACTATGCATGGAAAACCAGCCTTTGGAGAGATAATGAACGTACAGTCTGGTGCCAGCGTTCAGATGGGGTAAATGTCACAGGTATGTCTACAAAGCATGGGACACAGTGTGGAAGCTTAGCTGAGAATGATTAGGGTTAGCATGGGAGGGAAATGTAAAGAGTTTTTAAAATTATGTGAAACTTGAAAGAAATAAAAACCATTGTTAGCTGATTTTGGACATAGATTTCCCAAAGTCCAGTTTGGATTGTCTGATTAGGTCCTTTTAATAATGACATAATTGTGTTTGAATTTAGCTAGGAAACACAGATATGAATTCACCAACTTCATATCAGATCATTGTAACAAATAGCATGTAAATGAGATGATTGGCCAATTTATGCCCGGGTTTTGTTGGTGATTCAAACACAAGTACCAACTCACTAAAAAGGCCTGAGTGGGCCAGTCTGTATATCTGTTATCAGTGTGAGTGTTACATAATTTTAGAGAAAGAAGGAGAAACCACATGGGTGCTTGCAGATTCTGCCATTCTTCTTCCCTTCTGTGCACCAGGAAGGGAAGCTTCATCCACTCGCCCCTCCACCTCTATCAATAGAAAAGTATACTATATGGTCAGCACTTCCAGGCCCAGTGCCTTGGCCACCAGTGGGTCCACATGGTTTGCAAGTCCCTAGGGTCTCTTTCTGGTTAAATAAATGAGGAAATAGATAGATATGAAAATAGAAATCTTCCCACCCCACTCCTATGTATAATGATTGTTTTAAAAATGTTATATAACAAACATCAGCTGCAAGGATAGCAAAGTAGTTAAAGGAGCTGGTTCTATAACAGGGTTCAAAAAAGACTAGATAAACTCATGGAGGATAGGTCCAGCAATAGCTATTAGCCAGGATGGGCAGGGATGGGTATCCCTAGCCTCTGTTTGCCATCAGCTGGGAATGAGCAACAGGGAATGGATCACTTGATGATTACCTGGTCTGTTCATTCCCTCTGGGGCACCTGGCATTGGCAACTGTCGGAAGTCAGGATACTGGGCTAGATGGACCTTTGGTCTGACCCAGTATGGCTGTTCTTATGTTCACATTTTCCATATTCACATGAAAGCTTCCAGCAGTACAAGGAGTAGTGGGCATGAAGATTAGACACCAGTGTGAGATGCCGGAAAACTTCCAGACTTCCTGTGTGGCCTCGGGAAAGTCATTTAATCTCTCTCTACCCCTTTTCCCCATCAGTAAAATGGATAAAAATTCCCTGCCTTGTGAAGCTAACTTAACTAGTGAGTCATACAGAGCTACTATGATGATGAAGCTCCATAGAAAAGCATATAAATAAATTTAAAAATAAGCAAAAAAAAAATGCTGTTCAACCCCAGCAAGATGAGCATTAATCTTTGTCAAAACATTATAAAATGTATTCTTGAAAGTACGTAGTGATGAGAATTTCTTTTACAGGAGGTTGTTCTGTTCACACCCAGCCTGCTGAAACCAGACACTGCAATCCAAAGTGCAAAAAACCATTCACCTACTGTACCCAGGTAAGCAGCTGCTGCAGAAGACATTTTAGGAATTATCTTGAACATCTTAGAAGCTTTCTAACCCCTCTAACAATGATGTGTACATGACACCACCTAGAGATGATTCTGGGAATTTATGTTTAGAATTTAGATCCTAAGAGGAAAAGGTGACTTGCACAAATCTGAGCTGGGTTGATAGTGTTACATTTTTGGTTTGCTTTTTAATTGAGAGCTCTATCTGAGCTGTTGACTATAGATATGAGAGGTCTGGAACTTCTTTAAAGATGGGAGCTCAGAGACTGCTCCCTTTCTACTCCCTGGGTGGGGACAGAGAGAGCCAGGAGGAGGCAGTGACACATCCCCAATCTTACAGAGTCAGGCTGGTGCACAGAGATGCAAACAACTAACCCTAGAGAGGTGGTGAAGTAGGCACATCCCCCTGCCCTCTGGGGGCTCTGCAAGGCACCCTGAGGTTGGATGTTTGCCCTGGAGAGGTTCGACTCCATGCCATCCCTTACTCTGGGGTATGCCTAATGGCCATGGCCTAGACTGACATAAGCAAAGAGCTGTGTTGGTCCCAGAATATTAGAGAGACAATGTGGGTGAGGTAATATCATTTCTCTCTCACCAACAGAAGTTGGTCCAATAAAAGCTATTACCTCACCCACCTTGTCTCTAATAAACAAAGAGCAGCATTTTCAAACTTGGGTGTCTTAGACACCTAAAGTGGCATGATTTACAAAGATGCTGGGCATCTGTAACACCTACCAATGTCAACAGGAGTAGCAGGTGCAGTGGGCTTTGAATCAAGCCCTAGGTGTCTAACTTCAAACATTGCTCTTTGAAAGGGTTCCCATGTTGTTGTTGTTTTCCTTTAAGTTAGTGATAGTTTCTCAGCCATAACCACATATTAACAAGCTCTCTTTTTGTCTCAGAATGTGTAGCTACGGTTGGTTACACAGTTCTGTAAGCAGGCTCAATGGGTGAAATCCTGGGCTCAGTGAAGTCAACAGCAAACCTTCCATTGACTTCATTGGATTTCATGTGGTATCTTTGGTCTCATCCATTGTATATTGTAAGCCCTGTCTCTGTGGGTTTTCCTTTTATCTAGCGCTGACATTCTAGTTTGGCTGCTGTTGAAATTAATAAAATATTTTGCTTTATTATTATGTTTGGGAAAATATACTGTGTACCTGGGACTTTCACTGTCTGTGTGCATAGCGTGAGACATTTCTGAGAATATAAATATAAGCAAGTCACAGAATACTTGGATGGGGGGAATCAGAAAAATATCACAAATTTCCTTGACATGCTTAGTAGAATGTACTCTGTGGTTTAATACTAAATAAATATGTGTTGCTTAGAGTGGAGTCTGCAGTTGTGAGAGAGGATATACAGAAATAATGAGATCAAATGGTTTCCTGGATTACTGCATGAAGGTACCAGGTTTGGAAGATAAGAAAGCGGATGTTAAAACCAGTGCTGGAAAGAATAAACCTGTCAACTCAAAAATGCATGACATTTTCAAAGGATGGTCTATTCAGCCTTTTAATCCAGGTAAAAAAATGGAATAGAAAGAATATATATTTCTCTATAGAAGTAATACTTTGTAAATCTTAAAACCAAGGATTGTGTAGGAGAGTTTAAATTGTGAGACTAGTACTTATTTATGCTAGTTTGTATCTCCTTTTATTCCTTCGCTGTCAAATCCAGCATAATCCTAATTTATTAGGCTGAGATATAATAGAGACTGAATGAAGCAATAATGTTTGGAAAAAGCATCCCCATATGGAATTCTTGGAGTTACTTGGAATCACATCTGGCTACTAAATAGTGATGTTCTACAAATGTTGTGCTTGGTACCAGGGAAAGACACCTTGCGTCATTAGCATTTCTAAAGGTCTTAAAGCAGAAGATTTCTTACAGGTTTCATGACTGGAGACAGGTTTGATTAATCATGTGTTGTCATGTTTTGAAAGGATGTGAAAAAAAATAGGCTAATGAATACAGAGACAAACTGGATTTAGTTAAAAAGGGTTTAACCAGAAGAAAGAGATTATGTATTAGGTTGTGATACCTTTAGAATGAGCAGCAATTTGTTCCTTGAGTAGTCCCATTGTGGAGTTAAGGTGCTATAATAGCTGTGAATTAGGGTATCACAGTCTGGCCAGAAATTAGCATTTGTGCACTGACGTGATATCTTGAGTTAGTACTTATTTAAATAAAGGGCAGACTTCCTATTTACTTCAATAGGAGGTGGATTTGACCCATGGATATAGTATCTGATTACCAAGTTGGATGTTATTCTTTATTGAGTAACCTAACCAACAATTCTGGGGAACAGCACAACGATAACAACTAGGTTTGGTCGGCAAAATTCTTCCATGGGAGAACTTGAGAAAATACGGAGTCTACAGAAACAAACACACTGGGTTGCTCTTCTAGCTTTGGTTGATCTTTTCTTCACCACTGCAAACGCTTTTAATTTTTTATTTACTTTCCCCCCATTTTGAAACAATATTTATAAAAGAGTAATTATATGCAAAAAACAATAGTGAGGAAACATCAAGATGGACATTTTGATAGACTGAAGTCTCAGGCATACAAGTTAAGTTCCCCATAAGGAGATTAACTCTATAATACACAAAACGACTGTTTCTTTGTAATTGTATTGTATTTCTTGTGTTTGCAAATTAGTCTGTGATGATCACACAACATCGGGAAATGTAATATTATGCGGGACAGAGTTAAGGCTGCCTGAGTGTCTTGATCTGTGTGACTTCAGATCAACTTTAATGTTACATTAACTTATTTGGTTTGCATACAATAATTGATCTTTGTATTTACTGTATCTTAGCTAATAGTACAGTCAATGGTTTTTAGAACAGAGCATGATCCAGAAAGAGAGGCAATACAACAAGAGTGGTATGTGTACCTTTCTCTAAAGTTTGACAGTTGATTTTTGAGTTCACTTGCTTGTTACATTTGTAACTATACATAAAATTACATTTCATAACAACTTGGTGAGTCTGACATTTTTGTCCCCTAAGATGTTTTTCATGACCATGCAGAACTAGTTGTGGACCAAATAATAATTATTTATCTAATTACTATTAAACTACATTCCATGAAGCCAGAGTGCAGGTACAGAGACATTCCTCAAGTCAAGATGTAATATAAATAATATTGTTTAAAATGTAAGGCTGGATGCTCCCCTGCATTTATACCAGCAAAGGAGAGCAGGAAGAAACAAATGGTCTCTGGTTTCTAGCTATCTGTGCTCAGGTTGAGAGGTGCAGCATGCTTCTCTCCTAACCCATTAGAAATATCAGCAGCAAAGTCAGCAGACACTCCATGATGAGCCCTTCCCATAGAGGGAGATAGAATACAACTGTTGAGGATCATTGATTAAGGAATCATGATGCAGGGAAGAGATACCTCAAGTGTAGCACAGAGGGACAGCTTTCCCATAAGATCAGAGCTTCTTTTCTTGGTGTTTTATGGTTTTTGGAGGCTGCATTCCTCTGCCTCTTGTAACTCCCCCCAAGTTAGTTATAGAACATCTGTGATACCAAGGGAGTACTGAAGACCCACTGTACCACCACTGAAAACCCAGGCCAGCAAGGTGTTGGTAGCACTGGAAAGTGTAGTACCAGTAAATTGCACTTCCCTCAAGAAACTAATTAAAAAACAGTAATCTTTGAAAAAATCTCATCATTCAGATTGAAAAGACAATAATTGGCTACACCTGTGTGATGGTTCAACTCTTACATGAGATCGAGTTTTGTACAGTCTCTGTTCTGTTATTCCCATTAGCTCATGTGCATTTCCCGGGAAGTATGCCTGTCTCATAGACTGTTTTTTAAAAATTTAAAAAAACAGGAGGGAGGGTGAGAGGTGAGATTATGAATCAGCCGTTGCCATGGTATCTGGACATCTTGCAAGGAATACATTGACTCTAGAGCTTAATGAAATTCATAATGTCTGTATCATGGGAAAATCCAATATGTTGACATTTGTTGACATCTGGAATTTATACCAAACAGCAAAATCCTGAAATGTTTTTCAGAACAAAATATTTTGATTCAGAATCGTCAGTTTTGTTAATCAAAAGGAAATGTTTCAGCGTTCTCAAATTAAAACATTTCTCTTTGGGCCAGTTCAATACTGAACTGTGTCCACCTGAACTGCCCCTGTGCCTCATGAAAGTTGTAGTTAGGTTGCCTTTTTTCCCCATTATCTTCTATGGACTGGACTCCCCACCTTGACTACTTTTCCCAGGATGCACTGTGGTCATCTGACTCCTGTGATACACCACAGCAGGCCAGGAAGAGGGGAGACTGTTTCTATGTGGGATGATCTTCATTTTTATTTTTCCATAAAGAACATGAAAAAAATCAGGAAAATTAAATTTTTCTTACAGAAAATTTTGATTTTGCGGAAAACACATTTTTTTTAAATCAGAAAAGAGTTCTCCACAAAATTTCTAACCAGCTCTAGTTAGCTCCTAGCACCAGTTTCCAGTCAGTAATCTTAATTTTATTCTTATGTGTTAAGACATTATGCATTCTCTTTGTATATAGACTGGTAAGAATTAGAAGTATTAGTAAAATAAAGCTTAATAAATGTGATTTGTATTCTGTCTCCTGTCCCCTCCCCCACCCCAATGTATTTTAAAATAGATGGTAGACTTAAGATTTGGGTGTATGGAGTATCAGCTGGTGGTTTTCTCATCATACTTTTCCTGATTTTTACATCATATCTTGTTTGGTAAGTACTCTTAAGTGTTTTGTTTGTTTTTATTTAAGTCATTTGAAATGCATGACAGTCAAATGCCTCAGTGTCACAATGATGTAACTGAATTAAAGCAGATATAAATTTGGCTCATTACTTTGGCCCAGGTGTTAGAATAATGCAAATTCTGCAAAAAGCTGCTCTAAGCTGCATCGCATTGGGGTAGAGAATCAGGCAGCCATAACTGTCTCCCTGACAGCTTGACCATTCTGCTGTGTCCAAAATCTAGCCCAGGGGTTGGCAACATTCGGCATGTGGCTCGCCAGGGTAAGCACCCTAGCGGGCCGGGCCAGTTCATTTACCTGCTGATGCGGCAGGTTCGGCCAATCGCGGCCCCCACTGGCCGCAGTTCACCATCCCGGGCCAATGGGGGCGGCGGAAAGCCGCGGCCAACACATCCCTTGGCCCGCGCCGCTTCCCGCCGCCCCCCATGGCCCGGGACGGCGAACCGCAGCCAGTGGGGGCCGCAATCGGCCGAACCTCCCGCGTCAGCAGATAATAAATAAAAAACAGATAAATAAACCGGCCCGCTAGGGTGCTTACCCTGGCAAGCCGCGTGCCGAACGTTGCCAACCCTGATCTAGCCCATATATATTTCTCTTGTTCTGCTTTTTTTACTCTAGGAGTGTATGTATTAAAACAGGATCTGTGTGTTTAAGAATTTTTGTTCTAGCTACTTTCTTTTTAAATCAAAGTCAGAACTACCCATTATTTGTGACCTCACAGGTTGAGAATATAGAGATGTTTAGGAGTATGATATCCTGAATATAATTTTATTATATCCCTTGAGAAATAAGGAGGAGTTTATAAAGTTCTGTGTAACAAATATTTCTACCTTTTTGCAATAAAAAGGGGGAAAAGAAATGAGGATTTTTGAGATACAGGCAGAATTGTTTCTAAATTGACCTGTTTCCGTTTTTCTGTGAGGTGTAGTCGCTCTTTATTGTTTTTTGCCTTGTATACAGATTAAGAATAAAAATTATCTAAATTTCAAATAGCACCTTAGCCTGTACTCTTTACTCAGGTGATAATTCTATTGAACTCAGTAGGAATCTTATTTCAGTAAGTGCCGAAACAGTCTTATAACTTGTTTTCTTAAATGTATCCAGTGCATGTTAGGTGTCATGTAATTTGTGAATGGAAATAGCTAGTGCATAAAGTTTTATATATTTGTAGGGTTTCAAATGATATCTCAATTCACATTTTTGATTTCTGAAGCATGTTTTCATTTTTCTTTCAGCAAAAAACCAAAACAGCATCAAAGTACTCCTCCACAACAGAAGCCTCTGACCTTCGCATATGATGGAGACATGGACATGTAACATAAAAGAAATCCAAACGTATACTTCAACTGCCTTAACTGCTTACTCTTTTATAACTTTCAGATTCCTCGGTTTTTTGAGGAATCTCTTGACGTGTAATATACCGGACAGAATATAAATATTGCAAATGTGGAATTTTGCCTCTGGTTTATTTAAAAAATTGAGTCAAAGACCTTTAGATCTTGTGAAAAATTTTCCAAATTTTTTCTTGTGAAAATGCATCTCTTCCTGTTTGACAATAGGAACAAAAAAATTACGATTTTTTTAATAACATTTACTTTAAAAAAAAAAAGCATGACAATCCTACGGCAAATGTGACATTCAATGTAAATGACAAATTTGACACTTCATCATTATGCACTATATTAGTGCAGAGTTCCTTATTCTGCACATATTTCAACAATGAGTTTTCTAGTGTTTACGTTTAGTTCGAAAGACTTTGAAGCTGGATTGTGTATTTTAAGAATGCAAAAAAAAAGGTGATGAAATAATTGGAATTCTCTGGGTTTTTAAAATTCATGGTTTCTTATGCTGTTTTCTAGCCTGGAATATGATTTTGCTGCATTTCCATCAATAGGACAGAATAAGGATTGTTTAAATTTACAGCACCAGAAGTGATACAGGTGGTTTCTTACTGAATATGTTTTTTAAAGAGATGAGTAAATAGATGTTTTGATGAATGGATAGAGAATTTGATTGTTTACAAATGTATTTTAAATTAGATCAAACCATGTAGATACATTTTGGCCATTTTAAATTATAATTCAGTTTAATTACTACAAACTCTGCTTTTGTAATTTAAATTTTCTTATCTGAAATATTTATAAATTCTTTTTTGAATTTAATTATCTGACCTCATCTAATATACATCTGACACAACTACTGTTTGTAGAAGGTCTTGCTTTTTTAAAATGTTTGAAAAATACCGAAAAGTTACCATTGTAAACATCTTGGGAACATTTGAAGAAAAGTGTTTGTAATAGTATGTGTCGCAAGTAAGAAAGTGCCATCTTGTGGTATTGATGTGTATTTATAAGCAAATAAAATGTTAAAGAGAGTGAGAATTTTGCTTCCAGTATATTGAATTAAATGTGTGTTAAAGACTTTCATTTTGACCCTTCAGTATGCCTCAAATCACACTCTACACTGGATGAAAACCCCGGATAGTCCAGAGTTTTCACCTGAGTGGGTCTGGACATTGTTCCATCCTGTCTACTAGTGCTGGTCAGAAAATGGAGTTTTTCTCCTGTGGAATTTTTGTCTAACATTTTTTATCTTTTCAGGGGAAATTGGAAATTTTCAGCCAAAACCTAAAGTTTTTGATTGGAAATTGAAAAATTTTGATTCAGAAATGATGCTGTGAAGCCTCATGGTAGCTGTCATTCAGATCTCTCATGCCCCCTCAGCCACCCTGGCCAGACTACATTTCCCATGATGCAACCCAAGCTCCTTTCTCACAGAAATAACACAGTGCACCAAGGGAGACACACGCCATCGTGGGATGTGTCATTTGGCTGGGCAGCCTGACCCACAGAGGAGAATAGGGGAATAAGAGTTGCAAACCAGAGCTCCCCAGGAGATACTGCAGTAACATTTCCTGATAGAAATACATTGTGTTTCTGATGGGAAAAAAAATCCAATTCTGAGCAGAAAGCAGACAATTTCTGCAAAATAATTTATTTAGATGAAAAGTCAATTTCTGTTGAAAAACAACTTTGATAGAAAATTTTCAACTGGCCCTACTGTCTAGTCTACAGCTACTAACAGTGTTGAAAACAGGCCCCCTTACTTGGTAATGGTCGGGGCCTACGATTTTTGTGATAATATTACCTTGTGTAGAACTTTGAATGGGATATACAGAGTAATATGTTACAAGAGAAGGGAGTAGAATGCCAAAATGTGACAACAATTTTCTGTGGGAAAAGGTGCAGTCAGAATGGTTCACAGAGAAGGGCGAGGGAACAAACCCAATTAAACAAGCTGATGAGAATAACAGTGGAGTGGGAAAGTCAGTGTAAAAAGAAAACCCCCCAACAACTGCAGATCTTGGTTGCTGCTCTCAACGTGAGTGTTTTAGTGCACTTTGAATTACAAGCCAATCTGTGATGCTTCGTTCTCTCCATGGTCATTGCTCTCCAATGAATATATATATTTTTTCAATTATAGGTCCTTGTTTTTCAACCACAGTTGGTAGCATCTGTAGTAAATGATCAATGTATTTATTGCACTGTTCTACTATGAGATGTTACTCAAAAAAGGAAAGGTCTAAATAAGAGATCAGTTGCTTGTCATTATTGGTTTATCTTCAGTTCACAAATAATATGTGAGCTGGTGTTCTATCAATTCATAGGCAACCTGTGGATTGGAAGATTATTATTCTGCAGTATAATAAACAGATCAGTACAGAGAACTGCTCTTTAGATTGGGCATTCCTTATTTACAGTGTCACAGTAGATATTCAGGAGATCTATAACCAATTAACTCCTTTGGCTTCTGTGCTGCACCACTGTGGTTAAGGTCATTGCTTTCAAAGACAAGCAATAATGAAATAAATAATTTCCACATTAAACAGCAGTTACTGCTAATATTACATAGATTCCTAGATTTTAAGACCAGATGGGACCATTATGATAATCTAGTGTGACCTCCTTCACAACATTTTAAGTGAATATTACATCTAGTCCAACAATTTGTGGTTGAACTAGACAGTGGAATTAGATTGTGGAACTCATTGCCACATGAAGTCACCATGGCCAAGAACGTAAGATTCAAAAAGATACAGATATCCAGAGTTTTCAAAATGTATGATAATTTTGGAAGGGATGTTAAACCTCATGCTCTAGGATTTACACCAACTTCTAAGTACTGGAAACTGGATGAGACCTAGTGTGGGGAATGGAGTGGCAAATTACCACACATCTGTCTACTGCTCCTTTCTCTGAAGCACCTGGTTGCTGGCCACTATCAGAGACAGGATGAACCTTGGATCTGATCCAGTCTGGCAATTCCCATATTCATGACTAGACCATATCTCTAATCTCTCACTCAGTTGATGCAGCTCCCTCTATTTTGTAACTGTTATACATGCTTTAGACCTCACTCTAAAAGTGTTTAGATCCACATTTTCTCAGCTATGGTACCGCTGTGTTCCTTTCAAAGAACACAGGATAGGAAAAGTGAGTCACACAAAATGCAATCCAATACAAAAGCCAGATTGTCAAGAACCTTAGCTGTGCAACTGTGGGTCATATGCACTTGCATATGAATTGTGCTCACAAATAGGGTGTTTGAGTGCACAAGTACCACAACTGTGCTTAGTATATAACTTCATTTACATACATGAATGGAAGGAAAGGAGAGAGATATTTTAAATATAATTTTAACTCTACTTCTCAATTGCGAAGCAACACTTCAGAAAGAAAATAATGTAGTTCAGATCCTTAGTGTATTGGTCTTATTCCTGACTGCTTGATGTATTAATCTGGTCCCTATAAATTTAATTTAAAACAATTAAATTTCTAGCCTTATGGCTATGAAAATGACCTGTCACATGTAACCCAATATAATATAGAAAACATAGCTCTGAGACACAGGTGAACTGCCACCATTCATCTCAGTAGGGTGTTAATTCTGAAGCCTAATTATGGCTATTTACATTTAAGTGGTATGGGTGAAATCCTTATCCCATTGAAATGAATGGAAAACTCCCATTTATTTCAATCTGAACAGGATTTCACCCAATCTTTATAATTGTCTGGTTTTCATTCATTTACAATGTTTAAATTGGATGTTGTCTTAGAGGATTTTCAATTATGAGAAAACGGAACTCAGAAGGCGATTCCAGTGGAAGACTTTAAATATAAACCTTGGTGTAAATATATAAATTAAATCGATTACATTATGCTTTAAAATTAAACATGCACGGCCTATATTTCAGAGGTGTTGAACGAACCTCATGCCCATAAAATTCAATGGCAGCTAAACATGCTCAATACCTTTGAAAATCAGGGCATATATAAAACAGTAGGGCAAACATGGCCCTGGTATGAGTAGGGGCAACACCAATGATTTCAGTGGAATTTCCCAATTTAAAACAGAGTTGGGTTTACCACAGCTGACCTGATTCTAAATCAGCTATTGCTTGTTGTTTAATCTTGAATTGAAATTGAGAGCCATTTCCTACTCCAAAGCCTAAGGAACACAGGCAAGATACTTCCTCAAAGTTGCAGAGTTAATGAAAGACTTTCCTTCGTGTCAGAGTTACACATAGTCATTCTTGAGACCAAAAGACAGCGGAACTAGCATCATGCTATGCAGCTACCATAGAATCAGCAATTAACAATAATATACTATAGAGGCACAAGGGATACAACCCCATTCGCAGCTGCATGCTCCTATCCTGGGAAGATACTTGGTTTATATCCAGTTTTATGAAGCTGTATTCTGGGTAGATATAATTTATTCAAGGGCCAACAATGTGCTTGATGTTATTTGATGCACTGAACTACCTCCTGACAGATACTTAGTTACTTTCATTTACGTGTTGGCATCGCTTGTACAGCTAGCCGTGCCAATAAAGATAATGTAATTTGATTTGAATTTGTAACACTTTTAATAGGTTGCAGCTCCAAGCTCAGGCTGTGCCTATAATAAGAGCACTTCACTGGTATAAAAATACTAGTATCCTATGCCAGCAAAATGCTCCTAATGTGGCCACAGCTAAGTATGGTAAAACCACTCTCCACACACAAAACAAGCTATACCAGGGGCTTCTGCCAGCACAGCTGTGTTTGTCAGAGATCACACCTCTTATACCCATGACCAATAGAGCTATGTGAGTGGTAGTCTAGTGTAGACCTGGCTGTAGTCAATCATGAAATCTAAAGTAAGCCTCACAGTATTCACTGTTCTTTTCCCTTTGGCTCCAAGCTCATCCAGAACGAAAGTGCAGTTCTTCCCTTGCCTGACTCAAAGCAGTCACCCTCCCTCACCCACTCTTGTACTATGACCTAGGCCAGGCCTGCACAACATGCGGCCCATGTGGGCTCACTGTGCAGCCCGCGGGGGGTGAGTAGGTGGGCTCACTGTGCGGCCCGTGGGGGGTGAGTAGGTGGGCTCACTGTGCGGCCCGTGGGGGGTGAGTAGGCGGGCGGGGGGGGTGTGGGGGCTGAGGAGGCGAGCGGGTGGGCAGTGGCGGGGGTGCAGGTGAGCCGGTGGTGGGGAAGCGGGGCTGAGGAGGCAAGCGGTGACTTGATGGCTGACCTGGTCTACTGATCTGGTCTGGCTCCCATCCCCTCTCCAAGGGTTGCAGCTGTCTGTAGGTGCTGCCTTCCATGCCTTCCTCATTCACACCTCATTCATTCAACAAGGCAATTGATTACAAAGTGGGGGAGAGATCTTATTCTACTTCTAGCAAAAAGACATTTTTCTTTTACCTTAGGAGCCCACTATAACATATTACAAAGGTTCAATACCGCTGTTTTTTAAATTAATGGAGATATCCTATCTCCTAGAACTGGAAGGGACCTTGAAAGGTCATTGAGTTCAGCCCCCTGGCTTCACTAGCAGGACCAAGGACTGATTTTTGCCCCAGATCCCTAAGTGGCCCCCTCAAGGATTGAACTCACAACCCTGGGTTTAGCAGGCCAATGCTCAAACCACTGAGCTATCCCTCCTCCCCTTCTAGGGAAGGAGGGTTTGTTTCCGCGGGGCGGGGTGTTGTGTTTGGGGGTGCTGGGTGGCGCTGGGGGGGGGTTCGGCCGGGCCAGGGGGGTTCGGCCCTCAGCTGTTTTCTTTGGAGTAATATGGCCCTCGCCGCTTTACGAGTTGTGCAGGCCTGACCTAGGCTCAGTGACTGCTATTCATCCCCTGCCCCAGATGTGAGCCAAAAATAAAGGCCTTATCTATGCTCAGTTTTTGTACCAGTATAATTATTTTGGTTGGGATGGTGATTTTTACTGATATAGTTATACTGGAATTGCTCCTAGTGTGGATGCAGTTATACCAATATAAAGATGCCTTATAGCAATATAGCTTGTTCCTCTTCCTATAGAGA